CGGCTGGCAAACGCTCTTGTCACGCAGCGTACTGCAGTAGACGTCGCTGTATCAGGACTAGGAGAATCCGTCAAGCAGATCAAACGTCAAATCACGGCTACGATCAAATCGAAAACGAACACCTTTTCCTCCACACTCGAATTTCTCGTAATGAAGAAACCATCTGCCAACTATCGCCATCAACACAGCTGCGTGGAACTTACCAAGCGTTCCACTTGCTGATCCGCACTTCAATATTCCGGGCATGATCGATATCATCATCGGTGGGGAATGCTACCACGAAATCCACACCGGTAACCGCACAGCACTCGGGAACGGTCTACCATTGCTGGTCGAAACACACTTCGGGTGGGCAGTTTCTGGGAAAACGTCCACCAATTCCGCTGTTGCACCACCAGCATGCTACATATCAACCACCGACCGATCCCTCGAATCAGCGCTTCAACGTTTCTGGGAGCTTGAAGCCGTCGATAATGGCCCGACGCATTCCTCAGAAGAGAAACTGTGCGAAGAGATCTATGCCACTACTACCACTCGAACTCACGATGGAAGGTACGTTGTACGCCTTCCTCGGTCCGAAGATCCGCAAGTCACACTCGGAGAGTCCCGAGAAATTGCCACACGCCGCTTCTACAGCCTTGAGCGCCGCCTTGAACGAGATCCTGCCTTGAAGAAAGCCTACCACGATTTTGTGGAAGAATACCTCCGCCTCGATCATATGCGCAAACTCGATTCTGTTGACGACGAAGTTCCACATTGTTATCTGCCGCATCACCCGGTATTCAAGGAGAGCAGCACCACCACAAAGGTACGCGTGGTGTTCGACGCTTCCTGTAAGACCTCCTCCGGAATGTCACTCAACGATATACTCCTCGTCGGCCCAGTTGTGCAGCAGAATCTCGACACCATCATCATCCGCTTCCGTTTTCACGTTGTTGCCATTGTGGCTGACGTAGAGAAAATGTACCGTCAGATTTTCCACTATCCTGCTGACCAACATTTCCTACGCATTCTATTTCGTCGAAGGCCATCAGATCCAATCGACACATACGAGCTCCTCACGGTTACGTATGGAACATCCTCCGCCCCGTTCTTGGCAACACGTACACTGCAGCAGATAGCGAAAGACGAAGGAGACATTTACCCGGAAGCAGTAGAAGCTGTCGTCGAAGATTTTTACGTCGATGATCTCCTTACTGGCGCAGACAACTTGGAGTCTGCCATAGAAAAACGTCGTCAAATATCTGCCATGCTCGCATCGGCTGGTCTACCGCTGAAGAAGTGGGCTTCCAACGTTCCTGAAGCTTTGGCTGACATCCCGCCTGAAGATCTGGCGATCAAACCTTTCCATGATCTGCAAGATGACCAGTCAGTATCCACGCTTGGCCTTGTATGGGATACGAAGACGGATATGCTCCGTTTCAACGTCGATCTTCCGCTACCAGCACCGATTCTTACGAAAAGAAAGGTAATCTCGTACATTGCCAAGATTTTCGATCCGTTAGGCCTCGTTGGACCCACTATAGCCACTGCCAAATTGTTCATGCAGCGACTTTGGAAACTAAAGAACGAAGACAACGCACCCTACGAATGGGACCGCCCGCTCCCGCAGAAGCTACAGGATGAGTGGAAGCAATTCCATGCTACGCTTCCCATCCTGGCTGACATCAGAATTCCACGCTTCGTATCTTTGGCCTCCGTTTCCAAGGTTGAGTTGCACTTCTTTTGCGATGCATCTGACGCTGCCTACGGAGCATGCTGCTTCATCCGCTCGTTGAACAACGACCAAGTAAAGGTTCAATTGCTGACATCGAAGTCAAAGGTGGCACCCCTTGCCACGAAACACACTATCGCAAGACTTGAGTTGTGTGCAGCCGTTCTTTCCACAAAGCTGTATCAGAAGGTTGAACACGCAATCAAGTTATCTACCGATGTCTACTTCTGGACAGACTCAACCACAGTCATTCAATGGTTGCAGTCACCGCCGAATCGTTGGAAAACATTCGTTGCGAATCGTGTTTCCACCATCCAATCCAACACTGAAATTTCCGCTTGGAGACATGTCCCAGGAGTAGAAAACCCAGCCGACGAACTATCTCGAGGATTGCAGCCCGCAGACTTAGTCAATCAGTCCAGATGGTGGAACGGACCGAAGTGGTTGTGGGAATTTCCTGCGCACTGGCCTGTCTCGAATGTTCCAGAAGAAGAGTACATTAACGTCATCGAAGAAGCTCGGAAGGTAACTTTGATATCGCTCAATGCTCCTGACGAACAGTTTGCAAATCAGCTATTCGCTCGTTTCTCTAACTACACAACTCTTCGCCGTGTAGTAGCGTACTGCATGAAGTATATCAAGGCATTGCAAGCCACAGTACGTAAGTCCACCAAATCATCGAACATCATTCTCACGACAGCTGATCTCGTAGTCGCCGATCACACGCTAATTCGACTTGCTCAATCGCAACTCTACTCGGAAGAGCTAGCTGAGCTTACCACTTCCACAAGTAACGACGTCTTGAAGTCCTCACCCTTGAAATGGTTGAAGCCACATGTCGACGACAACGGAATCATCCGTGTAGGAGGACGTCTATCAAACGCTGAAGTTCCAGATACCGTCAAGTACCCGATGGTGCTATCCTCAAGACACCCACTAGCACAGTTGATAGCAGGTTATTACCACAAGTTTCTTCTGCATGCCGGTCCACAACTCATGCTCGCTACCATGCGCCAAAAATACTGGATCATCAGTGGAAGAAATCTTGTCCGGCACACGTATCACCAGTGTGTCAAGTGCTTCCGGAACAAGCCAATCCTGATTCAGCAGAGCGTAGCAGATCTTCCAAAATCTCGTGTGACTCCATCACGCCCATTCGCAATCAGCGGCGTCGATTACTGTGGACCAGTGTATCTGAAGTCATCGGTGAGGAATCGTGGCCCAACCAAAGCGTACATCGCCATTTTCGTATGCTTTTCAACGAAGGCAGTGCACATCGAGTTGGTCACGGACTTGTCCACACCAGCTTTCTTGGCTGCACTTTGCAGATTCGTCGCCCGCCGTGGCCTTGTTCGAGAACTCCATTCGGACAATGGCACTGCGTTCAAGGGAGCAGCTAACGCACTCCATCGCATCTACGAGATACTGAAGTCCAGTGAAACTGACCGAGCTCAAATCCAGACCTGGTGTGCCGAAAATCAAATCCAGTGGAAGTTCATTCCACCACGCGCCCCACACTTCGGAGGATTGTGGGAAGCCACAGTGAAGTCGGCCAAACATCATCTCCTGCGTGAAATCGGCCACATCAGCATCCGTCAAGAGGACATGACAACGCTGCTAACACAGATTGAAATGTGCCTCAATTCAAGACCACTGACCCCAATTCCGTGCGATCCTATTGACCTCGAGGTTCTAACGCCTGGTCATTTCTTGGTTGGCTCGAATCTACAATCCGTTCCGGAGCCAAGCTACGTCGACACGCCGGACAACCGTCTGGACCACTGGCAAATCACCCAGAAGCTATTCCAGCGTATTTGGACCTGGTGGTATCCGGAGTACCTTGCTCAACTCCAATCTCGAGCAGCAAAGGGTTGCAAAGTACCAGTTCCTATCAAGGTGGGACAGATCGTGGTCATCAAGGATGAGAATCTTCCTCCTGCACAATGGCCGCTCGGAAGAATCACCCAGCTACACCCTGGCAAAGATGGGACCGTTCGCGTCGTCACGATGAAGACAGCAAATGCCAACAGCGTCGTGAGACCAGTTGCGAAGATTGCAATCCTGCCAATCCCCACGGAAGACCACCAGCCGAAGTAGCATCAGTTCCTGAAACTACAAAGACCGGTAGAGCAGTCCGAAACTAGCTCGATGCGCATATCGAGCGCAATCAGGTGATTAGCGTTCCATTAATTTAAACCAAACCGTTCGATCTACCGGGTCTTTTGTTGTTCACAGATCTCAACTTCGTGAAACCTCGTGCCATCCTCCATTCAGTCGTCCTCAATGATTCGCCAACACCTGAATCAATGTCCGTCAATCACCATCGCAACGGTGAATGGCTCATTCATGATTTCGGGATCGTACTGCCGAAGATGCCCGATCGTACGGAGAGAGTGGAGAGCACAGCGACGAGAGCAGAGAGTTCTGGATGTTGAAACATTGCGATTGTTTCAAGGTGGCCGGAATGATCAGTACCTACTGATTATAATAAAAACTATGTTTGTAAATATTGTATATACCTAATCCTAATCTTAAGGCTAAAACTAAAGTCAAATCTTAAAACTAGTGATCTTAAACTAAACTACAACTAAATTTATATAAACATGAATTAACATTGTGAACCAGTCTAATGAAGATGATCACCGATTCTCACGAGAGAGAATGATCTCATTCCAATGGTCAATCATTGCACTTGACCAAACGAACCGAATTGTACACACAATACGAGTAGCAAATAGATACCCCAAGCGTGCGCAACCACATCTATTGTCGGTGTTCTTTAATTTCTATTCCTCGATCGTCAACCATCCGTCGGTTGCAATAAATTAAAGGAAAGTGAAGTGGAAATCGAAATTTTGCTTGTGATCCGAAATCGATGTTATCGCGTCAGTGTGATCAGGTTTTGATCAATCGTGTGTCCGTGCGTAATTAACGTGAAAATCGCGGACTCCAACGTTAGTGGAAAGTGACTGACTGGCTAACTCACATCTTCTACTGGGAAGGTGGAGTAGCAGCAGTACTTTTCGGGTGCTAAAGTGCTCCTCTGGTTTCTGTGCGCCGTTCGCGGTACGAACGGGAAGAAAAACCTCCGAATCCCGGCAAATACAGAGCCCACGGCTCGAACAGCCCCTTTAAAATGGGATTAGTTGTCATTAGTACAATGTGGTATTGAATTTTATTATTATCTTAATTTCATTGTATGGCTATTTTGATCGTGATATTTTTATTTTATGTAAAAGGGGAAACAAATTATCAGATTGAATAATTACAATATATCCATTTACAGATTCTGACAACTCATCTGACGACGAGGATGTTCGTGATCTTGAAGGTAAAACTTATACAAAGGATGGTATTGAAGTGAGTACTTTGCACAATATATGTTAAATATATACACCATAGAACCCATTATTTTAAGATTGATCGTGCTTCCGCCGGTAACATCAAGAGGACTAAGGAAGAAATAGCATTAGATACAGAGGAGGAGGATTGCTTTGGTTATACTGCAAGTGAGTATTTTTTAAGAGGGAGCTCTCATCAAGCTGTATTCGATCTTGAGTAATATTGGCGTGCGCGATTATTTGGAAAAAGAGCGAGGATGCACGTCTTACAGTTCTTTTAAGAACGGAAAAGAAGGAAGAAATTGATCTTTTTAGATCTGAAACTGCTTGTCGTCATGAAGACCATCTTGTATCGGAATTCCCTTTTAACGTTACTCCGAAATACTAATTGAGAACCACCTCACTATGCCCCTGGCAGTCAATGAACGCTAATGTCACTTCTATGCGCATATTAATCAACTATCAACTTATAGCTGCAAAAAAAAACAATAAAGTGGATATATTACTTATCAAATAGCCTTGATTTCTACACAACCTACCACTCTTGCTGAATAACACAAACATCAAAATTGCTTTTTCAACAACCAAACAACCTGCATTCAGCTAATAAACTATGTTAGCGCTACTTTGGGCGCATTTTTACATTCAACTCGGTGATTTACACTCCAGCGCTGGAAGTTTCGGACCTCCATTATCTCTAAAGCGCTCTAGCTGCATCATCGGGATGCGGGTGAGCATTTCTCTCCACAGGAAGGCACCCATCGTTGATGTGATGTTCGCCAAGCGACGGTATTATGGACACAAGGTACCAAACCTTGGCTGTTGGTGCGGCCAAATAAAAAGGCGCGGCACTGTTATTCAACACCCGAGCAAAGTTGGATATCAAAATACTATCAAAATGATATCTAATTTTGTTTTAGAAATCTTGTTGATAACATTTTTTGATATGCTATTTTTTAATTTCGGTTGAATTCATATTTTGAAATTATTTTGATATTTCTAAAAAATATAATTGACGCATTTCGCGCCAAATCGTATTCGGAGCTGGCAGCACCCTCTCAGATTTCAATGAAACTTTCTGGATGTGTGGACCTTGACTAAATATGCCACTTTGCATACTATGTTTTCCAAAATTTATCTAGACTAACATTTGAGAAGGGTCAAACTTTTTCTGCCGATTTTTATCAAAAAAATATTATGGAAAAATGACAACTCCTACAAAAATGTGTTGAATGAATGACTTTTAGAAAATTGTTTAAGTTATCGAAAAAAAAATTTTGGAAAAAATTTCATTTGAGACCTACACTGAAAAAAATCGATTTTTAAAATTTAAAGTCGATTTAAAAAAAAATGGCCATGTTTGATTTGGATGAAACTTTGCCTCAAGATAGGTAATTATTTTTACTACCAACCGTCCATACAACGCGAGATGGGCACTTTTAAGGAAAAAAAGTTTTTCTTACAAAAACTTTTTTATGTCTGAATTGATTTTTTTTATTGATTTGCCATTTTCACACAAAACTAAACCAGTGAAGCTCAAAATCATCTCAGAATCCAATGAAGCTCAAATTTTGTCTAATCAGCACTTAAGTTCACTTTGATTAATCGAGAATTTCATATGAAAAGGGCAGTACCCTCTCAGAGTTCAAAATTTGATGCAAAATTTGATAAAATGTGAGAGAAAAAAGACAAGATTTTTCATATATCATTTATTTATATATTTTCAATGTTTTAAACCTTTTTTTCATACATGCTATTTTTTTTCCTTTTTCCAATCAAGTTCAATATTTTTGGTTCATCTTCTGAATTAGAATACCTTTTTGCCGCTATTTGTCACCAGTTATAGGCACAAAACTGTGGAATTTCCGTGTGCCAAATATTGTCTTTGTGCTGTTATATAGTTCTTCGAGTTCTTCTGCCATTTCGATGTAATGTTCAGTGGATATGTACTCGAAACGTAGTTTTGTGATATTTTTATCTGTTTGTTCAACTGCCCAGTTAAATAATTCTCGTGGAGTTGTTATGGTGTTTCCATAATCTCGAGCAAGACTAGCTCTCTTTGCCATTCGCTTGAGAGTGCCACCAATGGCATCACAGGGACCTTTTCCAAGAGACGTTGCAAAAAAATGCCATTCTGCTTCTAATCCATGCTTTGACTGAAAACAGACTAGCAAAGTTTATTTTTTATGTTCTTGTTGTGATGCTGCCCCATCTGACATAAAAGTAATTTTAGAAAAATCTATCGATTTTTTAATAAAATCTATCATTTTTGAGATGAACAACTGAACTGCAACTGTATCGCGAGTCATTACTTCCGATATGATAATGAAGCTAAAATATATCTAAAGCTAAAAGTGATATCCTTGAGCAGCGTTTTGGGTAATGAATGAATAATTTTCAGAAAAATCACAAATTGCTAGAATTTCGCCTTCTTTTAATGATTCTTTTTTATTTCTTAGAAAAGATGACTGTTGTTTGTAAATAAAGTCATGAGTTATAAGTTTGTTAATTTTATCAATGAGATACGGAACAAATTCATCAACAGGCTTGATAATCGTTTTCAAATTACAACGATCAGTATTCAGCCACTGTTGAAACACAACATCTTGTTTGTCATTTGATTCTAATAGCAAAGTAAGTTCCTCTTCAATATGTTCATTAGAATCTCGATTAATCCAAGCGATTAGTTGCTGATTATCACAAATGGAGCTTCATTGGATTCAAATTTAACTCGCCCATTGCGACACAGCCTTGTGTGTGTGTGTGTGTGTACAATCTAACCCCCACTGTCCGGCAGTGTTATTATGGAAGAAAACTGCTTTTTATTACCCTTAAATTAAAGCAGGTTTAGTCCGGGAGTTAGAAGGTGTTAGCTCTATTGCAGCTCCAGTGACCCATTTCAGAATGCCTGGTAATTCACGACCACTCCGAGGTCACTTTTACTTACAATAAGCTCCGCATGTTCACTCTACCTTTATCAAATGGATAATGGTATCATAAACACACTTCCAGATTAAAAAAATATTTTTTCCAAATCTGGCACGTATATAGTTTTGAAATTTGTTCAACTGTATTAAATCGATTTGAATGGACATTTCTTATCAATTTTGTTTCGAATACCTCTTGATTAATCTGCTGGCAGCACTTACTGGCCCTTACCGGCGACCAACTCATCTGCCCGCGATAGCAACAACGCCTAAATCTCAAAGCTCTCCGAACGTCCCCTAGAAAATGCAATCGAGATATGTATAAGAACAATCTTCAACTGGAACGTACTCACCAAATCAATACATCCGGGAGCACATTCCCGATGCTTATTTTTCTCTCGCAAACCCGTCGTTGTCGAACGGCAAAAAAAGGAAACTCGGTGAGCAATTCTGTGACACGGAATTTTCACTGAACATAAACATAAACTGAAATTAAAAATTATCACTCGCGATGGCACTAATTTCTGGTCCGGGAGAAAATCAGACAACGCAGATCGCGACATCTCTTCTGATGCTTGCAAACATGTTGAATCACGTTTTCTTTCTCTATTCTAAAACTTCCCGGACGCACACACAAAACAGAGAACAAACTTAAAACACAACCGTATCCAAAGGCGTTCGAAACAGCACCCGCACTTTAGGTGAATCATCCTGTCGCAAAAAAGCCATGCAGGAGATGGATTCTTCATCGCCTTTAACTGGTTTAGCGCATTGGTCACAGGCGGAAGTCATGCTGACTCAGTTTCCAAAAGTGTTTTAGAAACAGCGGTGGAGATGCTCTAATACGCAAAGAGGAATTGGATTCTCAAGATCGCCCAATGCTATGTCGGATTGGATAACTTTTTCACTGTTTTCACAACACAAAATATGCTCTAATATCGCAACGAACTGCACTTTCCACTAACAACCAGTACAATATTACAGGTATACCGAACGGATAAAAACGAATAACGATAGCCCGTGTGATAAAAAATCGACAAATTTAGCAGCGCACAATCACGACGATGTGAATAACAACAACTGTCAACGTGTCACCCCCACCCATTGCGACACAGCCTTGGAAGTAAAATTAGGGCCATCTATAAATTACGTATATTTTTTGACCAACTATCCCCCCTTCCCTCGGAGCGTGTTTTGCAATACACCTAATACATGGCCGGTCCCAACTTCTGAAACCTCTCTCCTCCCTCAACTACTACGATATTTATGAAAGTTCCCTAATCATTGGGCAACAGTGGAAATCAGCAGCACACACCATACAAAACGGGTTGGAAATTTAGGCGAAATTTCGGTATTGATCGTCAGTATCTCGCGATCAGAACATTTTAGCTTGAAATCGCTCCATTTAATTCTCGGTACATCTTTAATCTGTTGATTGAATAAAAAAAATGCTACATGTGGTTTTTTTTTATTTCGTGCGTTTTATTAACGCACATTCATAATTTTGCATAAGAAAATGGGGTGTTTCTATGGTGAAAAAAAAGGATTTCCCTACACATATTACAGACTGCTGTACCAAGCACTGAAATTATCAGGCGGTACCTCTATTTATGCTTTTAGATTAGCTATGAAAGTCGATCCTGTAGTAGATAGAGTTAGTGTTGAATAAATAATGAGTAGAATCGAGTGAGCGTGAAGCGTGATATTCCGTTGAATCTCATTGGTTAGAGAATTTTGATAGGTTAGCAGGTATAAATATGAAGTACCTAAGCTCGTTGAAGTCATTCTTGTAACGAATTTTGGAGGTGACGGACCACCAGCAGCAACAGAAACAGCAGCAACAGTCTTTTTTACCCGAGCAGGAGAAAATACCTTATGGATACTAAATTCAGGTATGAAAATAGCATAACTGGCAACCTAAATATGGTATTGACGAGGCTGACATAAGAGGTACCCGAGCAGGAACAAATATCTCGATACCTTGAATTGGTATGGATGAGCCTGACATAAGAGGTAAAATACCAAAAAATGTTCCCACAATACCATTCCAATACCAAATTTTGATAATGCTATACCAAAAAAATATCTCCCAGGTATTCTTTTGGTATTCAAATATAATTTTTTGGTATTTACAAAGTATTTTCCATGTATTTTTTTGGTATTATTCTTTGGTATTTTACCTCATGCTGATCAATACCAAATTTTAGTATCAGATCAAAAATAGGTATTCATTAGTTATTTTCTCCTGCTCGGGTAAAATACCGTTGGCTGACATAATAGGTAAAATAATACCTCAAAAGTGTTCTACGAATAACGAAATAATAATTAATTTAGTTATAATCATAACTGACGGATAACAGACACTTTTTTATGCCAGAATACCATAATTACTATTTGAAAGGTCTTTTTTTTTTAATTATAGTCACTTTAACGCTCTTGGGTCATTCGTGACTTTTCCGGGGGTGAGATTAGAACTCGTGACTTTGGCGTGAGAGGTATGGATGCTAACCACTACGCCGGGGTCGCCCTCCGGAAAGGTCTTCTAATACCAATACAATAACTCTTTGAGGTGTTATTGTCTAAAAACTGAAAGATCATATTTTGTTATTTTGATATTTATTTGATATTTTACAAAATATGTTGATAACTGAATAGTATCAAAGTAACAAGGTTTTATACCACAAACATACCAAAATAAGGTATCATACCACATTAAGATATTCATATGTTATCGGTTACGTTTATGCTGTCGGTGCCGTCGCACATAGACTGGCGGTCTGCTAGACACATTTGATTGGATCGGTTGTCAGTTCACCGGGTGCGTTAGCGAGTGCCCTTGTGGCAACAACCTCCCCGGGTGCGGTCCACTAGACTCCATGACCGCACTTCTATTCCTAACGTCGAGAACCGCTAAT